GTCTTCCACTGTACTCTGCACACCTGGCCGAGAGGACCTGTGGGGCATCGGCAGAGAGAGGACTTTGAGGAACTTTCCAAATGATTTATTCAGTTTTGAACATGGTATATTTCATATGATGTCAAGGTACCCAATGGTCTTAGGCTCAGCACAGAGATTGTTAGTTTAACTCTGTATCTCAAATATATTGCAGAAACCCCCCCTCTCTCTACCACATCTTTATGAATTAAGAGGTGCTGTAAAAACTCAAAGATAATTATTTTCAAGAATAAGAATGTTGAAGGGAGCCCTGACCGGTTTGGCTCAGTGGATAGAGCGTCGGCCTGCGAACTGAAGGGTCCCAGGTTTGATTCCAGTCAAGGGCATGTACCTTGGTTGCAAGCACATTCCCAGTAGGTAGTGTGCAGGAAGCAGCTGATTGATGCTTCTCTCTCATCAATGTTTCCAACTCTCTATCCCTCTCCCTTCCTCTCTGTAAAAAAATCAATAAAATATATTTAAAAAAAAAGAATGTTGAAGAGAGAAAATACTGTTCAACATCTCTTTCAAGACACTTATAATTTAGCACAGGATACAGGGGTGGGTAAAAGTCAGTTTACAGTTGTTTGTATGGAAAATCTATATATAGGAAAGGCTAAGTGACCGTCCGTCCAACCGTCCGACCGACTGGCCGGTACATATGACACGCACTGGCAATTAAAAAATAAACGTTGACTCATGCATGCATGATACATATAAAGCTCTTGCTGGTGCCAACCGCAGGCATGTGTTTTGATCTGTCATTGTTGATTGTGAATTTGGTTGTTTTTGTTGACATTTCTATTACAGAGAAAGGGCGAATATCGATATTAAAATATTTCTTCTAATTAATTTCCTTTCATTGTGCACGAATCAGTGCACTGGGCCACTAGTAACACAATAATTAATAAATAATGATACAAGAATAAACTGTGTTTCCCATGCTCACAACTGTAAACTTACTTTTGCCCACCTCTGTATAAACTAAAGCTAAAGGAAACTTCCCTTAAAGTGCTATGTATTAAACATTGGAATGAATTCCTCAGGGCAAATTAATGACAAACAACACCCAAACTTTCCTCGTAGGTAGAGAGGTGTTGTCAACTGTCTTCCACTCCCAGACCTCTGCCACATTGTCCAAGAGGAGCAGGACATGTTGACTGTGGTAAGAGAAATTTGGAAGTACTCACTTTTATGGAAGTCATAAGAGAGAGAGAGAGAATCTCATACTATTTAGGATCATCCTTGATACATTTATTCTAAAAGACAATATAGCCAAATATCTCCCTCTATGTTAAATTTGTACGAAACTGAAATCCTGAAAATTCAGCTGTTGGTGGAATCCATTTTTTTTTCCAGTTAGACTGGGCATAATCCCTAACTGGTTGTACAAAATCTAACACACTGACGAAGTTCCATCTCACAGCACCTGCTGTTCAGAGTGGAATTCAGACTGGCGTTTGGGAATACCAAGTCCAGAATTTCAGGTCGGGTCGTAATTGGGGTAGGGAGGGGCTTTGGGCGGGGCTTCCAGATGGGGAGGAGTCCTTATTAGAAAGCTGTGTGGGGCCAGTGCAGAGCTGCCATTACTCTCGAGGTAAGCCTGGTACCATGTGAGTGAGCGAGGATCCGGTGGGTGAGCGCAGCCTTCCCAATGAGAACGTTGCCCTAGGCATCTGAGCGGAATCCGCAAACCTCAGGAGTTGCTTGGACCTGCCCAGCAAAGTGAGCTGCAGCGAGCGCTGTCGCCAACTACAGGGAGCCGGCAGAAACGCTCCTCTCCCCGACCACGGGCTGCACCTGAGAGGTGCAAGCAGCCTCCGGGTGTTAGCGAGAAGGGAGGCGGATCGCAGTCAGGGGTCGGGAGCTACACGGCCAGCACGGGTTTGAAGCCGGAGAAAAGGTCGGGCGATAGAGCCGCATCTCATTGCTTTCGAAGCCGCCGCCGCCGGAGTGCCGACTTGTGAGTACTCTGCGTCTCCCGCGCTCAGACTCCGGCCGGAGAACTCTGCTGGAGAAGTCTCCCCGTTAGCACACGAGCTCCCTGCACGACCCGTCCTGCTCTCCCACGCGCCCAGGGACCGAACCGCCGCCACCTGCCCCTGCCGACTCCATGGAGGGCAAGGGCAGTCGCTGACCAACGCCGCCCCCTTCTGACCCGGGAGGTGGAGATCCCCACCTCCAACCCCGCCCGGTCCGGTCCCATTCAACACCCCTTTTCTCCTCCAGCTGCTCCTAGATCCCCGACACCCCCCTCCTCCTTCCCCGATCCCTCCTCCCTAGAGTCAGGGGAGGAGAAAAGTGGAGTCGGGTCATTATGACAGAGCCGAAGCCACAGGCTTCCCGGGCTCCCCACGTGGTGGGCGGCGCGCCCTCCCCCATCCAGGCCGGCTCTCCCCTGCTGGGACGCCCGG